CAGCATACCACCCCCAGACTGACGGACAGACAGAGCGACTCAATCAAGTGGTTGAACAGTTACTGCGCACAGCTTGCAAGGACAACGTCAGCCACTGGGACACACAGTTACCGACCCTAGAGTTCGCTTACAACAACGCATCACATGCGGCCACAGGGAAAACTCCTTTCTTCCTGTGTTACGGACGGGAACCACTCACACCACAGCAGCCAACTACACCGGCACACGTCCAAGCCGCACATGACTTTGTCACCACCATGCAGCAGCTATGGGAGAAGACTCAGCGACGTCTCACCATGATGCAGAACTCCCAGAAGCAGTATGCCGATCGTCAGCGACGTGATCACTCAGTAGCAGTCGGAGATCAGGTGCTTCTTGACACACGCAACTTGAACCTGTCTCACCTTCCATCCAAACTCCGGCCTCGCTTCTGTGGTCCTTTTCTCGTTGAGGCACAGGTGACACCAGTTACATTCCGCTTGCGCTTACCAGATACATGGTAGCTTCACAACGCTTTCCATGTCCAGCTACTGAAGCCCTACAAGGACCCCAACCAACAGTTCCAGGGACGGCAACTACCGCCACCACCACCTGTTCTCATACAGAATGAACCCGAGTACGAGATCGAGCGCGTTCTCTCTCATCGGCGCCGCGGTGGCAAGACTCTCGAGTTCCTGATACGCTGGAAGGGATACGACCCCACTAAGGACAGTTGGGTTGCAGAAGCTGATATGGGCAACGCACGCCGTGCTCTCAAGGACTATCTTGTCAAGCAGGGTGTATCTCACGCCACCCAGCTTTGAGGGGGGGACATGTGAGAGTACGACGGCTTATGCCAGCTATGCTTGCTTGCCTCTACTTTATCATGCTATTTCTAGCATAGGATAATCATATGCATGCATGAATTGCTTGATTTCCTAGGCTAGGTGCTTTCCTATATTTTATTATAGTTATAGCACCGAGCTAGGTTGCGTGCACCGAATTCTGGCTTTTCGGTTGCCACCGAATTGCCTTCTACCGAATTCGGTAAGGATCTGTTCGGGACGCTTCGCGACCCGCGGAACCTTCGCGTAACACCTGGTTACGGGGCCTTGTGTCGAGCCTATATATAGCCTCGTGTTGTACCCAGGTGGACATTCAATTCAATTCAATTCGACTCAATTCTCATTCTCTTTTCTGAGCTTGATCCCAGATCCTCACAGCGTTGCTCACCAGTTTGTAGGGAACGTGGGGAGGTGGAGACCTGACAGAGAACCGGAGGGGACTGCTGGACACGGGAGAACAGTGGAGGCTCGTGCGACTACTGGGCCCCTAGTGGGGTCAGCCAGTGAGACTGGTACCGGTGCAGCAAGAGGTGTGAGTGTGGTGGAGTCACGAAAGAAGCAACGTGACACGCCTGAGTCAAGTGTGAAAGTGTGCAAGGCCTCAGCTGAGGCAGGACCTGTGGCGGTAGACGCACGAGCACCTAAAGCTGCAGCAGACTCACTAGCATCTGGAGGAGCAGTAGACTCACTAGCACCGAGTGCAGCAGCAGACTCACTAGCACCTGGAGCGGCAGCAGACTCACTAGTAATAAGTGCGTTAGCAGACTCACTAGCACCTAGAGCAGCAGCCTCTGCAAAACCAGTGACACATCGCTGAGAAACCAACTCACTAAGTAGCTGTGGGGAGAAGTTCTCTTGCTGACTCTGCTGCCGTCTCTGTGCAATACGCAGATAACTAAAGCCTCCACTACATGGACGAGTTCGGTGCATAACCCACTCACGAAGCTGCTGAGGGGTGGGGTCGTCCGGGAGAGGGAGTGAACCGCTGCTGTCCACCCCTAGCCACTGCAACTGCCGTGATAGTGGCCATGACAGGCAGTGACGGTCAGTAGTAGGTCCAGCACCTCCAACACCAGCAGCACCTCCACCACTCCGAGTCGCAGCTCCAGCACCTCCAGCACCAGCAGAACCTCCAGCACTCCCAGCAGCACCTCCACAAGGAGCAGCAGTAGCAGGAGCAGCAGCAGCAGCAGTAGTACCAACAGAGCAGCTTGGTGGGGCCCCCAGCAGCACTCCCAGCAGCACCTCCACCAGCAGTAGCACAAGCAGCAGGGCGGCTTGGGTTGGGCAGGGCGGCTTGGGCTGGGCGGCGCGACTCGGACTGGGCGGCGTGTGCAGCAGGGCGCATGCTGTGCAGGGTAGCAGGGCGCAACACGCGGGCTGCAGCAGAGCGCGACGCGCGGGGCAGCAGGGCGCGATGTGCGGGCTGCAGCAGAGCGTGACGCGCGGGGCAGCAGAGCGAGATGCACGGGCTGCAGTAGGGCGCGACGTGCGGGCTGCAGCAGGGCGTGACTTGCGGGCTGCAGCAGAGCGCGACGCATAGGGCAGTAGGGCGCGAACCCTGCAGACGCAACCCTGCAGACGGGGCGCGCTGGGGCAGGAGCTGCTCGCAGGCAGCAGTGGCGCGCGGGGCAGGGGCTGCTCGCGGGCAGCATGGGCGCTAGGGGCAGGGGCTGCTCACAGGCAGCAGTGGCGCATGGGGCAGGGGCTGCTCGCAAGCAGCAGGGGTGCGCATGGCAGGGGCTGCACACGGGCAGCAGGGGCACGCAGGGCAAGGGCTGCTTTCGGACAGCAGGGGCACGAGTGACAGTATGGCAGCGCGTTAGGGCAGGCAGTGCGAGTAGCTGCAGGGCAGCATGACACTGTGCGAGAGGGCCAGACAGCGCAAGGGCGCTTAGGGCAGGAACCTAGCAAGACGATCGGTGGGCCCTAAAAACTTAACAGGTGTCCTGCTCTGATACCATGTCAGAATAACTGTGCAGGAATGATTGGATTAGCAAGAGTTGGGGTACAAGTACTAACCCTAGAAGTGTTGTACCCCATAAGGAGTACCCCACTATAGCCTACAAATAAGATTGTACTTTGACAGACCAACCGTAAATACGGGAACCCACCTAGTGTTAAGGGTTAATTCCTCGACGGGAGGTGCAGCCAACGTTGGCCAGACGCACTTGGGCGATCGCGATGGAGCACTATTTGAAGGCCAGAAAGTGCAGCGCATTCGTTAGGAAGTCGACCGGCTGCTCAGAGGTTGGGTTGGGATGTACTTCAATGCGATCTTTCCACACTTCACCATCTATTGCAGCCAGGCGCAACGTCGCTCCATGAACTTGAGGCTGCCTCCAACCCCAACCCTCTATGATCGTGATGGCCGGCTGATTGTCCATACGAACGACGGTCGGCGTGCCTCCTTGCTAGCGTCGGTGGCGGCAACGTACTCAGACTCGGTTGACGAGAGCGTCGCGCACTTGATGCGCTGGCTTGTCTAGGAGACTGCGGCTCCTCTAAAGATGAACGCGTAGCCGCCTGTGCTCGTACGGTTCTGCTTGTCGCTGGCGTCGACCTCGCGCCAGTGGCTGTCGCTCCACACCAGGCCGCTCCCCAGCTTGCTGCACGCGAAGGCGATGTCCGGCCTCATCGTCATCGCCGCGAACTGCAGCGAGCCGACCTTCTGCCAGTCTTCCTCCTCTTTGCGTGACTGAGCATCCTCGTCGTGACACGTCAGGTCGGCATAGGTGTCGACAAAAACAGGTGTCTTCAGGATCTGCCCCGTCTGCTCCTCGTCAATGAAGCGCATGCGCAGCTTGCCGACATAGGCCTGCTGGTGAAACGACAGGTTCTGCGCGGGTCGGTTGCGCACGATCTCTAGACCAAGATCGTTCTCGACCGTGCTGATCTCGCCCAGCTCAAAGGCGGCCTCCAATAGCTCTTTTAGCTCCCTCAGCATCGCAAGACTACTACTGGCAGCGAGCAAGTTGTCAGAACATCATAGCTTATGCTTTTGTGTAGGCTATAGTGGGGTATCCCATAGGGGGTACAACCCAATTAGGGTTTCCTATATGTACTCACTTCGTTCTTAGTTCATTCATTCGCGTTCACTTCTTCACATGGAATCAGAGCAGGTCCCCTCCTAGGCACTGTTCCTAGGGCCCACCGAAGCGCGCCCCGAGGCGCGCGTTCCTTTTTTTTTTAGCGACCCTCCGTGTCGCCCCTAGCGGCTCGTGACGCCGCCCTTACCTACGCGGCCCCGCCGCCCTTACCTACGCGGCCCCGCCGCCCTTACCTACGCGGCCCCGCCGCCCTTACGTCGCGGCCCCCGCCGCCCTCACGTACGCGGCCCCGCCGCCCTCACCTTCGCGGCCCCGCCGCCCTTACCTACGCGGCCCCGCCGCCCTTACGTCGCGGCCCCGCCGCCTTCACATCGCGGCCCCCGCCGCCTCACCTTCGCGGCCTCGCCGCCCTCACCTTCGCGGCCCCGCCGCCCTCAACTTCGCGGCCCCTCTACCCTTACCTACGCGGCCCCGCCGCCCTTACCTACGCGGCCCCGCCGCCCTTACGTCGCGGCCCCGCCGCCCTCACGTCGCGGGCCCGCCGCCTCACCTACGCGGCCCCGCCGCCCTCACCTACGCGGCCCCGCCGCCCTCACCTTCGCGGCCTCGCCGCCCATGCCTACGTGGCCCCGCCGCCTTCTCCTACGCGGCCCCGCCGCCCTCACGTCACGGCCCCGCCGCCCACACCTTCGCGGCCCCGCCGGCCTCCCCTCCTGCCGAGCCGCCCGAGCAGCCGCCCGCCACGCTGCCGGGGTACCGGAGCAGCTGAGCCGCCCAGCAGCAGCCGCCGAGCCGCCGGGCCGCCGAGCAGCAGTCCAGCCGAGCCGCCCAGCAGCAGCCGCCGAGCCGCCGGGCCGCCGAGCCGCAGTACAGCCGAGCCACCCAGCAGCAGCCGCCAAGCAACGGGCCGCCGAGCCGCAGTACCGCCGAGCCGCCCCGCAGTCGAGCCGCACTACTACCGAGCCGCCCGACCTGCCCTTTCTGGTGAGCACAGCCCCACTGCTACTGCGTGCCCTTCCCCCACTGCTTGCACTGCTAGTCTGTCGTCATGGCTACCCCTAGTGTCCTCGCTTTTGACGCTGAGGGTCGAGCCATTGACTTTGAGGTCTGGGTCGACGACCTGCAGATGTTTTTACAGTGCGATAGGGCGGACGGTCTTTCTCTCTTTGACCTCACCTTTGGCGCCTCCCCTGCTCCTGCTGCTGATGCTGACCCCACTGTTCGCTCTCAGTGGGCCACCCGCGATGCTGCTGCACGTCTTGCTGTGCGTCGCCACCTGCCTACCACTGAGCGCGCGCACTTTAGTCAGTACAAGAGTGCTCAGACCTTGTACGACGCTGTAGTTGCGCGCTACTCTTCCCCTGCCACTGCTGCACTGAGCCGCCTCATGCTACCGTACCTCTTCCCTGACCTTGCTGCATTTCCCACAATTGCTGACCTCATTACGCACCTCCGCACTAGTGACACTCGCTACCGCGCCGCGCTGCCTGCTGAGTTCTGCGCCAAGAACCCCCCCCCCATGTACATCACTCTCTATTACATAGTCACCCGCCTCCCTGACTCCCTTCGCGTAGTCAGGGACCACTTTCTCTCAATCTGTCCCACCACTCTCACTGTTGACCTCCTAGAGAAGGCCCTCCTAGCAGCGGAGAAGAGCATAGTCGCTGTAGGAGCCTCTCGTGGTGACCCTCGCACCCCCATCTTTGAGGGGTGTTCCCCTTCCCTCCTGCTGCCCTCTGTCGCCTCTGCTGCTGCGGCCGACCTACTTGGTCTTGAGTCGGTCGGTGCGGCGTCTGCCCCTAGCGGGAGACGCCGCTCTGGCAAGGGCAAGGGGGCAAGGGCGTGGGTGGAGCTAGCGGGGTGGTGGAGGTGGCAGTGGAGGCGGCGGAGGGAGTGGGGGTGGCGGTGGGAGTGGTGGCGGAGGTGGTGGTGGTGGTGGTGGCAGTGGAGGCGGAGGCGGAGGCGGCGGTAGCGGTGGGAGCGGAGGTGGCGGAGGAGGTGGAGCTGGTCGGGGTGGTGCCTCGCAGCGGAGCGGCTCTGGTGGTGGTCAGCGCCAGCAGCAGCAGCAGCAGCAGCGTTCTCGGGACATCCCCCCCCCTGAGCAGCTCCGTGAGTGGTACGCTGCGCGTCAGCGTGGTGGGGGTCTTGGCCCGTGCACCTACGTTCTTCGTTCTAGCGACCGCGCGGGTGAGCAGTGTGGGGGTGCCCACTCCACCCAGCGTTGCTTTGGCCGCCTGACGGTTGCTTGGCGTCAGCAGTTCCCCGAGGCTAGGGAGATTCCCCGCTGGGGAGAGCTGTCTAGGGCTGGCGTAGTGATCTTTGATCTTGAGCCGCCTCATGCTACCGTACCTCTTTCCTGACCTTGCTACCTTTCCTACAGTCGCTGACCTCATCACGCACCTCCGCACGTCTGACACTCGCTACCGCGCCGCACTTCTTGCTGAGTTCTGCGCCAGGAACCCCCCCCCCCCCATGTACATCGCTCTCTATTACATAGTCACTCGCCTCCCTGACTCCCTTCGCGTAGTCAGGGACCACTTCCTCTCACTCTGTCCCACCACCCTCACTGTCGACCTCCTCGAGAAGGCCCTCCTAGCGGCGGAGAAGAGCATAGTCGCTGTAGGAGCCTCTCGTGGTGACCCGCGCACCCCCATCTTTGAGGGGTGTTCTCCTTCCCCCCTGCTGCCCTCTGTTGCCTCTGCTGCTGCTGCCGACCTGCTTGGTCTTGAGTCAGTCGGCGCGGCGTCTGCCCCTAGCGGGAGACGCCGCCCTGGCAAGGGCAAGGGGGGCAAGGGCGCGGATGGAGCTGGCGGGGGCGGTGGAGGTGGCAGTGGCGGTGGCGGAGGGAGTGGGGGTGGCGGTGGGAGTGGTGGTGGGGGTGGTGGTGGTGGTGGCGGCAGCGGAGGTGGCGGCGGTGGCGGCGGCGGCGGTGGTAGCGGAGGCGGCGGTGGTGGCGGATGGTCGAGGCGGCGGTGGCGGAGGAGGTGGAGCCGGTCGGGTAGTGCCCCGCAGCGGAGCGGCTCTAGTGGTGGTCAGCGCCAGCAGCAGCAGCAGCAGCAGCAGCGTTCTCGTGACATCCCCCCGCCTCAGCAGCTCCGTGAGTGGTACACGCAGCGTCAGCGTGGTGGGGGTCTTGGCCCGTGCACCTACGTTCTTCGTTCCGGCGACCGAGCGGGTGAGCAGTGTGGGGGTGCCCACTCCACCCAGCATTGCTTTGGCCGCCTGACGGTTGCTTGGCGTCAGCAGTTCCCCGAGGCTAGTGAGATTCCCCGCTGGGGAGAGCTGTCTAGGGCTGGCGTAGTGATCTTTGATCTTGACTTTGATGCTATCCTTGCTGCCATGTATGGTGTGACTATTAGTGATGAGGGTGACTGTTACCGGTGTTTCCCGCTCGACCCGGGCATTGGTACTGCTGCGCTAGGTGCTTGTGAGGCTACTGCTCTAGGTGCCAGTGCGTCTGCACCCTCAGGTACTGGTGAGGCTGCGCTCTCAGGTACTGCGTCGGCTTCGGCCTCCCTCACCTTCACACTAGACTCAGGGGCTTCTCGCTCCTTCTTTCGAGACCGCACCACACTCACGCCGCTTGGTCGGCCGGTTGCAGTCTCCCTGGCTGACCCCTCTGGAGGCCCTGACCTCTCTCACTTCTCCACTGTCCTCCCGTGTCCGGCTGCCCCCTCGGGCACCCTGTCTGGTCTGTACCTACCCTTGTTCTTGACAAACTTGGTGAGTGGTGCTGACCTGCTGGATACGGGGGTTCACCAGTTCACTCCTGCGAGTCAGCGGGTGACCCACTGCACGGACGCTCGGACAGGCCGACACCTGGCCACGTTTACACGTCGGCCGGGGTTGAGCCTGTACACACTGACCACTGCGTCTCCTCCAGTCACTGCGTCTGGTCAGGTAGCTGCGTCCAGTCAGGTGTTTGCTGCCGCGTCCAGGTCTGGTCCTGAGTCTGCCCCCTGCTTCTGTCGCCTCCTGTCTCACGAGACTCTCCTGTGGCACCACCGTCTTGGCCACCCGTCCTTGCCTCGTCTTCGGGGCATGGCTTCCCGTGTCCTTGTCTCTGGTCTCCCCCGGTCTCTCCCTCCCCTTCCTTTGGGGCCAGGAGCTTCCTGTGTCCCCTGTGTCGAGGGGCGGTTCAGGGCTGCCCCTCACTCCTCCCAGTTTCCCCGGACAGAGGCTCCTTTGCAGACGCTTCACATCGACGTGTGGGGCCCAGCCCGCGTCCGTGGAGAGGGTCACGAGCGCTACTTCCTGCTGGTGGATGACGACTACTCGCGTTACACCACAGTCTTCCCCTTGCGCAGCAAGGGTGATGTCACTGAGGTGTTGACGGACTGGATCCGCGCAGCTCGTCTCCAGCTCAGGAGGAGCTTTGGCTCGGACTTTCCTGTCCTGCGTCTGCACTCTGACCGAGGTGGAGAGTTCTCCTCTGGCCTTCTGCGAGCCTACTGTTGTTCACGAGGCATCCGCCATACCTTTACGCTTCCGGACTCTCCACACCAAAATGGGATTGCTGAGCGCCGCATTGGCATGGTCATGGACGTCGCTCGTACGTCCATGATGCATGCGGCTGCCCCCCATTTTTTTGTGCCCGTTTGCGGTTCGGTACGCGGCGCATCAGATCAACCTTCACCCCAGGGTCTCCCGGCCGGAGACCTCCCCAGCTCTCCTGTGGACGGGGAAGGTCGGCGATGCGTCTGCGTTCCGTGTCTGGGGATCTCGGGCGTTTTGTCCGCGACTTGTCTGCGGACAAGCTGTCCCCTCGTGCTGCTCCCTGTGTCTTCCTAGGCTTCCCCCCTGACGCCCCAGGATGGCAGTTCTACCACCCCTCGTCTCGTCGTGTTCTGTCCTCCCAGGACGTCACGTTCGACGAGTCAGTCCCCTTCTACCGCCTCTTCCCCTACCGCACTCCTTCCGCCCCCCCGCCACCGCACTTCCTTGTGCCAGGTCCCCCCCAGGTAGACCCCCTTCCCCCTCAGGGTCCTGCACCTTCAGGTGTGTCCCAGGTAGACGCAGTCGAGCCGGTCGAGGTTGCTGGTGACTGTGGTACTGCTGTGGGTGCTGAGCCTGGGGGTGCTGACTCTGGGGGGTGCTGCGCGTGTGGGCGCTGAGTCTGGGGGTGCTGAGCCTGGGGGTACTGCGAGTGGGGGTGCTGAGCCTGGGGGTGCTAAGCCTGGGGGTGCTGAGCCTGGGAGTGCTGAGTCTGGGGGTGTTGAGCCTGGGGGTGTTGCGACTGGGGGTGCTGAGCCTGGGGGTGCTACGTCAGGAGCTGCTGAGCCAGGGGTGCTGCTGAGCCTAGAGTTGCGGAGCCTGCAGCCACTGGACCTCCCCCCCTAGCGTCTGGCGGTGCGGGGCCTGGAGGCTCTCCGGGTGCTTCGTCTCGGCGGGAGCCACTCTCTCCAAAGGAGCTGCGTGAGTGGTTTGCTCGCCGCTGGAGGTGTACTGCTCGAGCTGGAGCTTCTTCGGGTCCGCCTGGCGCTGGAGCTACTGAGGGTGTTGGTGCTGAGACTGCTGCTGTCCTTCCTGGCGGTGGTCCTACTGCGGGTGCTGCTAGTGCTGCTGGAGGTTCTGCTGCTGGAGGTGCTGTTGGCCCTGGTGCTGCCGCTGAGGGTGCTGGTGCTGTCGCTGCTGTGTCTGGAGTTGCCGCGCGGCCTCGGCCGTACTTCGTTCCACTCCTTGAGCAGGTTCTTGGTCTTTCTCCTTCTGTAGGGTGTCCACCGCCTGTCCAGTCACAGTCACAGTTACCGCCGGCCTCCCCACTGCCTTCTCCTTCTCCGTACACTGGTCCTACTGGAGGTCTTGCTGAGCGTTGTGAGCCTGCGTCCCGTCCTGCGTTGCCTGTTCCTGCTGCTCGCACTAGTGGTCGCAGTTCGCGTCAGTGTCCTCCTCCTGTCCCTGGCACGCACCGGATGTCTCTGCGTCCGTCCACTGCTCCTCTGCGTGCCCCTTTGCCCTCTCCTCCTGAGTCCTCTCTTCTTGTGCTTGCCGACCCTGAGTCGGACTCTCTTCGTGCTGCCAGTCCTACTGTCACGCGTCTCCTTGCTACTGTCGTCACTGACCCCTCTTTTGAGTCCACTGCTGCGTCTGCGCTTGTTGCTGAGCTCGTCGACTTTGCTGCTCGCTGTCGTCTAGACTAGGCTGCCAGTCTTGTTGCTGAGCCTGTGTCTGTCTGTCCTCCGTCCGTCGGGGGTGAGTGTGCTCTTAGCACGGACGTCCTTGAGGACAGGCAGGAGGAGTTCCAGTGTCTAGCTGCTGCTTCACCTCATCTCGCGTCCGTACTGCTTACCCCTGAGGGAGACCCGGATGCACTAGACATCCCGACTCCGCGCTCTTACGCGGAGGCCGTAGAGGGTCCCTACTCGTCTCAGTGGCAGGCAGCTATGGATGCAGAGATGGCTTCCTAGAAGTCCACAGGCACCTACGTTGACGCGGTTCCCCCTCCTGGGGCGAACATCGTCAGTGGCATGTGGATCTACAGGGTGAAGCGGCCGCCGGGCTCTCCACCTGTCTTCAAGGCGCGGTACGTGGCTCGTGGCTTCAGTCAGCGGCAGGGAGTTGACTACTTTCAGACCTTCTCTCCCACCCCGAAGATGACCACTCTTCGGGTGCTGCTGCACATAGCCGCTCAGCGCGACTACGAGCTCCACTCTTTGAATTCAGCACAGCTTTCTTGCAGGGTAGCCTGCATGAGGAGATCTGGCTGCGCCGTCCACCTGGCTTCACTGGGACTTTCCCTCCTGGCACCCAGTGGAGCCTCCGACGGCCAGTCTACGGTCTCCGCCAGGCACCGCGTGAGTGGCACGACACACTGAGGACTACACTTGCGGCTCTTGGGTTTGCTCCCTCTACTGCTGACCCGTCGTTGTTTCTGCGCACCGACACTTCTCTGCCGCCGTTCTACATCCTCGTGTACGTCAACGACTTGGTCTTTGCCACAGCGGACACTGCTGGACTCGCCTACGTGAAGTCGGAGCTGCAGAAGAGACACACGTGCACAGACCTGGGTGAACTGCGCAGCTACCTTGGCTTGCAAATCACTCGGGACAGAGCACGCCGCACCATTACCTTCACTCAGTCACACATGGTGCAGCAGGTCCTTCAGCGCTTCGGCTTCACGTACTCCTCGCCTCAGGCCACTCCTCTGTCTACTCGCCACTCGCTCTCAGCTCTGCCTTTGGATGAGTTCGTAGAGTCGAGTGGCCCGTACCCAGAGCTTGTTGGCTGCCTCATGTACCTGATGACCTGCACACGACCTGACCTTACATACCCTCTTAGCGTCTTGGCACGCTATGTTGCTCCTGGAAGACACCGACCAGAGCACATGGCTGCAGCGAAGAGGGTGTTGCGCTACTTGTGCAGTACGTCGGGCATGGGGCTAGTGCTTGGAGGGCGGAGTCCAGTGGTTCCTCACTGGGCACGCGGACGCTTCTTGGGCTGACGACCAGGCTACTCAGCGGTCGTCGCAGGGTTACACCTTCAGTCTTGGTTCCGGCTCTGTTTCGTGGCGGGCTACTCGCTCGTCTTCTGTTCTCGGCTCCAGTTGTGAGGCTGAGATCTACGCCGGGGCCATGGCTGCACAGGAGCTTCACTGGCTCACCTACCTGCTGACCGACCTTGGAGAGCCGCATCGTTCTCCTCCAGTGCTGTACGTAGACAACAAGGCCATGCTGGCCTTGTGTCGAGAGCAGCGTCTGGAGCACAGAACGAAGCACATTGCTCTCCGTTACTTTCTTGCTCATGAGCTGCAGCAGCGTGGTCAGTTGCGACTTGCGTACGTGGCCTCTGAGGCCAACACTGCTGATGTTTCACCAAGGCACTTCCGCCTTGTGATCATCAGCGCTTCTGCACTCAGCTGGGACTTGTCCCTGTTTTGCCTCACTTGCTCACCTCTTGACCTTACTTGTATTCTTGCATATATATATACACCTACTCTTGCTTGTTTAGACTTATATATATATGTCTCCTCCTGCATGTGAACTGGCCTTGTGGCCTTGACCTTGTGCTCAGACTGTGTGGTGACGTTGTGATCCACCCTGAGCTTGCTTTGCTTTGCTTTGCTTGAGTGGTCTTGTGACCCCTTGTTCTCCCCACTTTGCCTATGGGGGTTGTGTCTGAACATCATAACTTATGCTTTTGTGTAGGCTATAGTGGGGTATCCCATAGGGGGTACAACCCAATTAGGGTTTCCTATATGTACTCACTTCGTTCATAGTTCATTCATTCGCGTTCACTTCTTCACACAAGTTGTCGCGTAGAGGAGCACCCGACACGCCACTCCGTCGTCGGCGACCTTGAATTGAAGAGCCTCGTTGGCCTGGCTCTTGCTCCGGTTGGCGCCGGGCAGCACTGCGTCGAGCGCCAATTACCACAGCAGCGGCTACTGCTCCAGCCCGTACGAGCTCCTTAGCAGCTTGCACACGCGGCGAGCCCCGTCGTTGTAGTATTCGGGTCTGGTACATGTAGAGTACATAGTCGAGCTCGCTCTGCAGAAATGCTTTTCTTCATATTGAGCTGCATCAGGTGCAGGTCAAGGACACTAACGATGCTGAGAAGATACTTATCGTGGCGTACCTCCCCACCGTCTCGTCCTAATCAAACATTGTACACCTACGTGAATACCTTCACGACAAAACACGCCTTTTCGCGAGTGACCGTGTCCTCGACGTGGTACTTCGCCATGAACACCAACCGATTCTTCATCACTTTGATACCGCGCTGACGCTACGACCAGTTCTTACGTGCCGTTGGCGATGAGGCTCTGGATCTCCTTGTCCATGGCGGCCTTCACTGCCTTGCCCTTCTAGCTCGTCATCATCGTGATGTCCCAGCGGTGCTCTGGGTCAGCGTGAACGTTGGGGTCGAGCTCAGGCACGTCGACATCGCCATGGGCATCGTCGAGCAGCGTATTGTATGAGGTCGGTGACGGGCAAGCCTGGTAGCTCACTATCGTCGACGTGCTTGACGTCACGTCGGCCGCTGGCAATGCCACTGGTCGGCACCATTCGGCAACGTCCACATGCTCCCCTCATCGCCATAGGTCGACGAAGGTGTTAGCTCACACAATATGGCGGTAAGGGGTGACACAATAGGAAAAAAAAGGAGGAGAGGGAGGAGGAACGTCCTCGATGTCCTCCCCCAGCAGGCTCGTCGACTTCGGCGAGCAGCCGGGAACGTCGCCGTTGACGAGTCCGTCGGCGAGTGGGTCCGCATCCGTTCCGATGCCTGCCCATGCTTCACCTTCCACACCTCCAGCAACAGCGTTTCGTAGAAAGATTGCCTCCACCGTGGTCACGACCTTGTTGTCGGTGAGGTTGAGGACCTCCCACCCTTGTGTGAAGAAATGAGGAATGAATGAACTAGCAAAACAGGTGGGGTACAAGTAGGAAAACCTAAAAGGTTTGTACCCCATGTTGTCTACCCCACTACAGCCTACACAGACTATAGCATATGAGTTTGGACACACCCCCATAGGCAAAGTGGGGGAGAACAAGAGGTCACAAGACCAGTCAACCAAAGCAAAGCAAGCTCAGGGTGGATCACAACGTCACCACACAGTCCTGAGCACAAGTTCAAGGCCACAAGGCCAGTTCACATGCAAGATCATATATAAAGGTAAACAAGCAAGTGCAGGTATAGAAAGATCATAGTACCAAGCAAGGTCAAGAATTGAGCAAGTGAGGCCAAGTAGGCACAAGACCTAGCATCGTACAGAAGCGCTGATGATCACAAGGCGGAAGTGCCTTTGTAAAGATATCAGCAGTGTTGGCCTCAGAGGCCACGTAAGCAAGGCGCAGCTGACCACGCTGCTGCAGCTCACGAGCAAGGAAAAGTAGCGAAGAGCAATGCGCTTCGTTCTGTGCTCCAGTCTGTGCTAGCTCCCGACACAAGGCCGGCATGGCCTTGTTGTCTACGTACAGAACTGCGAGAACGAGGCGGCTCTCCTAGGTCAGTCAGCAGGTAGGTGAGCCAGCGTAGCCTCCTGTGCAGCCATGGCCCCCGCGTAGATCCTC